TATCTTCAAGCAATAGTGCATGTCGATCACGAAGGAAAGAATCAGCTGGGAAAAGGTTAAGAAAGTGAGAGAAAGAAGCAAGGAACATTAGACGTGGACTCGGTATTACTAAAAGAAAAGAATTTGCTATATTATCAAACAAAAAGTAACACAACTTGCATCATAGTAATAAAATGTAAAACAATTTGCTGTGTTTGGATTTGATGCGCCAAACCTTTAATGGCCTTCAATCAATAACAATGGATTAATTATTCTAAATGCACAACAAGTGAGAGTTGAAGCCAATTAATAAAAAAATGATAAGTAATTAACAAGTTTTAAATGGACATATCATCGTTATTCCAGACAAAGTTGGTTGTGTCAAAAGTTTTTTATGAAACAAGTATCAAGTAAGTAACAGATCCACTGTTGAGTTGAGTGTCAGTAAATTTGTACTATTTGTTTTAGGTCACATTCTTAGAATATGATTAACAATTAAAAGCTTGTGAATGAACATCTTCAGATAATTCTACTAAGAAAAATACTGCAAATTTTACTGATTAAAAAAGTAAAATTAAACTTGTAGAATAAGTGAATAACTGTAAAAACAGAAGATTATCCAACTTTCTAAACCCATAATTTGCAAAGAGCTGCTTGATCAGTTTGCTGTTTCTACTGCTATGCATCCATGAATTATATATAAAATCTCTCTTCCTTCCTCACCATGTCAGAGCAATCGGTGAGCAGCTGGATATATACAAACTCTGGCAATGATGCATGCAGGTTCTACCATTCCCTCTCCCAATACGTCAGCCTCTGAACAATCTATAAAGTTAGTATAAAACCCTATTTGGTTCATGAAATTTTTTTTGGAGGAACCGAAAATAAAATTATTAGGGCCTACCATGGTGACTCCTTTTCTATTTTTTTTTATATTTGTTTTTTGTTTTTTTTGTTTTTTCGTAAAATTGAAAACAAAATATGTTTAATAAATAATAATGTTCGCATGTTAGAATAAAAGATATTGAAATTATTGAAAACACAATAAATGAATACATAAAATAAAGTTTTAAGAATGAAACAATAGGCAATAATGTGATATTAAATCCAAAACAAAGAATGGGAGGCCCAATCTTGAATTCAAACCCAAGTCAAGAAACCAACAATCAACATAACATAGAAATTACAACCCAATAACAATCAGGAAATGTGACAACTGGCAAGCCAGGATATTCCTAGACTCAATTTTAGCGTTTCTTATTAGATAATTGACGTAGATTGTACTAGCATATGACAAGTGATTTTAGTATTTTTCTTATTTAATTAGAAGTTTTTATTAAAAATTATAAAAATAATAGAATTTTTTTATTTTAATTTATTTAAACAATAAATAAGCATAGTTTTAAAATTTTATTTTATTTTTTACTTCAAGGAAGTTTAGAATACTTCTTCATTTAAATTTACTTTACTTGCATTCTAAGTTTAAGTCAAGTACGATTAGACTATTATAAATAACACGCTTAGACTTAATTATTAGATAATTAATCTTTTTGAATTATTGAATAACATTATATTTTTTTTCAAATTTTAAGTGTAAGTTTTTGCGTTTGTAACTTGACTATCAATTTTAAAAACTTTATCGAGTGTTAGTCTTTGTTTTCATGTTAACTCGTTGCGTCAATAATATGGGTGGAGAGTCCTCAGTCGAGCCACCAAGAGATGTCCAGTCTAATACCAACATATAATCCAATGGAGATTTTCCCTATCAATCAAAATCAGGGAATTACAAAATTTTCATCAGACTGATAAATTGACAAATATTTTTAGTAATAGATGTGGAAAAATTTATTGTAGTTCCTATTTTTTTTTAAATGTCATCTTTATTTGAGAAAAGCATACTTGTGCAACAAAAAAAATATTATTCAATTTTTTAACTTTTTATTATTTTCTACAATTTGTTAATTTTATTGATTCTTGTAAAAATAAAAATATAACAGAAATACTAGTAAAAAGTTTACTATGTAAAAAAAATTTAATAGACGTAAATTAACATGATAGAAAAAGGTACCTCAAGAAAAATGATAGGAGTGAACATAAAATTATTAAAAGTAAGTAATATATTTTATTAATTTTTAAAAATTTTTGGAGAGCAGATTTTGTTCTGCATTTGTACTGCTGTTTCTTATTTTATTTTTATAAAATAATAAAAATCCGAATTCTACTTGACGAAAAAGTTTCATGGCATAATATTATGAATGAGTCTATAACTGTCGTAGTACGAAGAATCTATATAATAATTTTTCGTAGAAAAACTATATATTTATATCACAAATTGGATGATATGCTTGTAAATTGTTTGGCACAAATCACGATAATTTTATTCATGTACAAGTTTTATTTAAATTGGAAAGAATGACAAATATAACACAATATTTTATTTAAATTAATATATGAAAAATACTTTGGTCCAACCACACCAAGGGAAATCCAATTCAATCCCAAGGATATGCCTTGCCAGTCGGTAGCAAGGAATTAACCAAGTTTGAAGAGAAATTTTGTTATCTTTTATATGAAATAGTAATTTCATAGATAAAAGTAAAGTACAGATAGTTATTTCTAGACTAACGAGTACAACACCATGAATAGAGAAGTTCTTATAAAGTTTAAACTTTAAACACTCTTACATATGATACGCTCTTCATGAAAAGATAAAAACAAATAAAATGTTTTTATTTTAAAATTACATGCATAATTCAATCTTAATTACATGCATGATTCATTTTTAGGTACAGATTTGTAGTATGTTCAATTTTTTTTATTTATATTTACATTTATTATAATTGAGTCTTGTACTAGTTCCATTATACTTCTATGTTATAAGAACCTTACTCCTGCAAAAGACACAAAAAGAGAAATCCTAAGGAAATCTAAAGTGACTGGCGAAATTAACCTTCTCCTTTTTATTTATCAAAAATAAAGGATATTTGATGGTGCTTGCTGACTAAGTACTTGGACTTAAAGGTTCCTCATTAGACTAAGCTTCGTTTAATCATCAATATCCTCCAATTTTCTGATTCTCATTTAATCTTCTAGAACCAAATGCAAGCTCCGAAAGCTTGAAAGTAATTAGTTGACAACTTATAGCCTAATTTTCAATAACCTTTTTCGATGAATTTCAAATAAAAATTTAATAACAATATTTGCTTTTCAAAGTGCAGTTCATGCAGAAAGACACGATCATTAACACAAAGAAAGGCGTTTAGAAACAGAGAAAGAAGTGGGACTGGAGGGCACCGCTTTTCAGAGGCAGAGGGGATGGGGGCTAGTGGGCCCTTTCAACAATTTCAAAATTTTTATAATTAATTTTCATTTTTTAAAATTTAATAATTTTATCTACATAAAAATTTTAAAATTTTTTTAACATATTTTGATTTTTTTAAAATTTTATAATTTTGACCTTACAATAAATTTTTATTTGCTGAGATGTTCCACAACAATTAGTTAACAACTAATTTAAATTCGATTAAAATAAATTTAATAGGACTAAAATAAAGCTTATTGCAATCTTGAACACTACTTCTCCAAAATCTCACAGCCACCATTATTGTTTTTTTTTTCTTTTTATCAAATACTATAGAAATAATTTTTTTTTTTTTACATTTTTTTACTTACCAACATTCTCTGTATAGAAAATTTGTAGTCGATAACTAATTTTTTATGTCAAGATAATTGGTAAGTTTGATTTATTTACTGATTCTATTTTTAATATTTTCAACTTTATTTAGTAATTTTTATTTGGTGATTTTGATTTAAGATTTACGGTCTTAGTCATTTTTTGTTAAAAGCAATAAAATAAGAATTTGATTAGATACTTAATGTTAGTTATTACTTATTTATTTAAGGATTGTTTGATTGCTTTCTAATAAATTATTTGTATTTTTTTTATTTGCTTATATTATTGTGAACAATTAAGTTTTTTACTTGGGATAACTTCCTCATTGAATTGTTTATTGATATTGTATTTAATTTTTGTGATTAATTTTAAGGATTTGCTTCCTATTGAATAATTTATGGATTGCCCTTAATATTTTTTTAATGAATTGCTTTTTATTGAGATTTTTATTATTATATTTGTTAAATTTTGTTTATTGTTAAGTTTATCTAAAAATTAAAGTTATTATCATTATTAAATTATTTATAATTATACTAATTAATTCTTCTAAGTAAATTATTAAGATTAATGTTTTAAATGATTTTCTAAATTTATTTGTATATTTTTATATAAATTTTTTTCATATTTGTAGCTTTATATTGTTTACGTTCTTGGTTCCTCCAAACACAAAATTTTGACTCCGTCATTACCTGTTTTGTTCATCATGACGACGATAGGCAAAGAAACAAGGATGGAAACGGCAAGAAGTGGAAGTGTTAGAAGATACAGCTGTAGCTCTGCTTTCATCTCTTGCATATCTTTTCTGTTTCTTTCTCCATTTCTCTCTTCTTCTCTTCCATGGCTGCAGCCTCTCCCTGCCTTTTTCCTTTTCCTGGACTTGTGTTTGTCTATCTGTGTGTCTCGGGCCCTCGGCCCACAGATTTTCATGTTTATGCCCTTTGCAATCCCCACTGAAGTATAAACCCAGATATGTGATTAACTTATATATTGTTGTAATTTTTTTAAATTTTTACATTTTAATATAAAATGATATTTTAACCAATCAATTGTTAAATTTAACAATATATTCATACTCACATAATTTTATTTTTTTATAAAATTAAAAAGTACAATTTGAACTTAACTCTTTGAAACAAAGATTAAATACATCTCATTGTCAAATCAAATTATCTAGTGCAAACTCATCTAAGTTTTCAAATCAATATGATATTTACATGTACACAAGTTATCTAAACTAAAAACACTTAAAAAATTAGACTTAAAGATGAATTTGGTAGTCTCAATTACTATCTCTTTTTTATATTTATGTACCATACTTTTGATGTGTGTACGTAAATATTTACATGCAAATCCTCTTTCATCTTCATAAAAGAAAAAGTAGGCACTATAATATAATTTATCACAAGCATTAGTATTTTAGTCATTCAATTTTCCTTCTTTTCTTAAAAAAAATCCATGAAATAAGCATGACTACTACCAGTTTATATATGCCGTACTAAATCCTGATTGGAGATCCTAAACTTGCAAGCAAAAGTTAAGTTCAATGGAATAAATTTACTTTGAGAGTAATTGATTGAATTCCGGAATGAAAAACAACAAAAGATTTCTATTTAGTTTGGAGGGAAGAGATTCCAATGCAATGTAATTATAATTAAATGAGTAAATGAAGCAAATTTGTTTTGAAGGAATTATGACATTTAAAACAACAAAATGTCAACCTTGAAAGTTGAAAGTAGAAGGCATTTAAGAATTTTTAATGAAGTTATTTTGGAAAAAAACTAAATATATATAAACATAGATCACCCAACCAAAACAAATTACAAACCAAAATTTGAATCCAAAGGCAATACAACAAACCAACAAATAAAGAGTAGGGATTACATGAACAATCCAAAGCAAAG